TCGATAGTAGCCTTCTAAGCCCTATTGGCACAAATATGTGTACTCTAAGCAGTATCGGCACGAATAGGTGAACTCGATAGTAGCCTTCTAAGCACTATTGGCACAAATATGTGTACTCTAAGCAGTATCGGCATGAATAGGTGAACTCGATAGTAGCCTTCTGAGCAGTATCGGCACGAATAAGTGTACTCGATAGTAGCCTTCTAAGTAGTAACGACAGGAATGAGTGTACTCGATAGTAGCCTTCTCAGTAGTATCGGCATGAATAAGTGTACTCGATAGTAGCCTTCTAAGTAGTAACGACAGGAATGAGTGTACTCGATGGTAGCTTTATAAGTAATATCGGCACGAATAGGTGAACTCGATAGTAGCCTTCTGAGCAGTATCGGCACGAATAAGTGTACTCGATAGTAGCCTTCTCAGTAGTAACGGCAGGAATGAGTGTACTCGATAGTAACCTTCTAAGTAGTAACGACAGGAATGAGTGTACTCGATAGTAGCCTTCTCAGCAGTATCGGCACGAATAAGTGTACTCGATAGTAGCCTTCTAAGTAGTAACGACAGGAATGAGTGTACTCGATAGTAGCCTTCTCAGTTGTAACGGCAGGAATGAGTGTACTCGATAGTAGCCTTCTCAGCAGTATCGGCATGAATAAGTGTACTCGATGGTCGCCTGATAAGAAGCTTTGGAATAAATGGGTGTACTCGATCATCACCTTCCAAGGTACCTGTTTATAAAGAGTAAAATATATGAATCTACTGTTGGTTGTTTACTATACCCTAGAGTTTCCTTCCAGGGAGTAAAACTGAAGTACCATTTTGTGATGACTAACGACGAGAAGAATTCTTGGTTTAAACATTTTTCAGCGGACGAGTTTTGTAAGTGTTATTACTGTATTTTGTGTTTAATAAACTACATGGTTTTTTGTTTATGGTTACAATTTTTTTTCTGGAAATTATATTTTATAAATATCTTTCAAATTTTTATTTCGATGATATTATGAGCTTTCTGATTTTGTGCCTTACATTTTGCGCTGTTACCGAAGAAATATAGCTTAATTTGTGTGTTCTTATTTTATGTTAGTGTCTGGATAATATTGTCTTGTGTGTGTGAAGTATTTTAAATCATATTCATAATTTGTTACTGACTGGATGCAAACTTTCTTGTTGTCTGTATTGCAGTCTTATTTATTCTTAATTCGTCTTACTGAGTGAATGTATTAGTGTGTGTGTAACACGAAACGTTTATTAACCTTCTCTTAATTCATGTTACTGAGTATATGTACACTGTATTATTGTGTGTGTATCACGAAACGTTTATTAACCTTCTCTTAATTCATGTTACTGAGTATATGTACACTGTATTATTGTGTGTGTAACACGAAACGTTTATTAACCTTCTCTTAATTCATGTTACTGAGTATATGTACACTGTATTATTGTGTGTGTAACACGAAACGTTTATTAACCTATCTTAATTCATGTTACTGAGTATATGTACACTGTATTATTGTGTGTGTAACACGAAACGTTTATTAACCTTCTCTTAATTCATGTTACTGAGTATAGGTACACTGTATTATTGTGTGTGTAACACGAAACGTTTATTAACCTTCTTTTAATTCATGTTACTGAGTGAATGTATTATTGTGTGTGTAACACGAAACGTTTATTAACCTTCTCATAATTCATGTTACTGAGTGAATGTATTATTGTGTGTGTGACAGTGAACTTTATTAATCTTTCATTCATTCATGTTAATGACGGAATTTACACTGTATTGTTGTGTATGTGACATAATAATTTATTAACCTTCTCATAATTCATGTTACTGAGTGGATGTGCACTGTATTATTGTGTGTGTAACACGAAACGTTTATTAACCTTCTCTTAATTCATGTTACTGAGTGAATGTATTATTGTGTGTGTGACAGTGAACTTTATTAATCTTTCATTCATTCATATTAATGACGGAATTTACACTGTATTGTTGTGTATGTGACATTATAATTTATTAACCTTCTCATAATTCATGTTACTGAGTGGATGTGCACTGTATTGTTGTGTGTGTGTGACACTAAACTTTATTAATCTACTCTTAATTCATGTTACTGAGTGGATGTGCACTGTATTGTTGTGTGTGTGACACTGAACTTTATTAATCTTTTCTCAATTCATGTTACTGAGTGGATGCTCACTGTATTGTTGTGTGTGTGACACACAACTTTATTAACCTTCTCTTAATTCATGTTACTGAGTGGATGTGCACTGTATTGTTGTGTGTGTGACACTGAACTTTATTAATCTTTTCTCAATTCATGTTACTGAGTGGATGCTCACTGTATTGTTGTGTGTGTGACACACAACTTTATTAATCTTTTCTTAATTCATGTTACTGAGTGGATGCTCACTGTATTGTTGTGTGTGTGACACTAAACTTTATTAATCTTTTCTTAATTCATGTTACTGAGTGGATGTGCACTGTATTGTTGTGTATGTGGCATTATAATTTATTAACCTTCTCTTAATTCATGTTACTGAGTGGATGCTCAATGTATTGTTGTGTGTGTGACACACAACTTCATTAATCTTTTCTTAATTCGTGTTATTGAGTGGATGTGCACTGTATTGTTGTGTGTTTTTTATACAGTACTGCTTCTTTTAGTCCATCTGTATAATTATTGATGTTATTTCATGTTTCATACAGTATTGTGTTCAGTAGTCCAACTGTGTAAAATATACTTATATTTCAGACATTCTTCAGACTGACATAACGTTTACTGCTCTGTACTGCCTTCTAATATTGGCCTCGTGTTTTGAAGCATGTAAGTTTTTACAGTTAAGTTAAACAAACTGGTCTTAATGAATAGCTTATTTACACTTCATGTAAAGGATTTCTTAACTGTCTTGTATAACTTGATATCACTTATTGTAATGTAACCAATACTCTAAACAAGTCTATTGATACAATCTTATTGTAATGTAACCATTACTAAAGTTTAATGCTCTAAACAATCTATTGGTACAATCTTATTGTAATGTAACCAATACTAAAGTTTCAATGCTCTAAACAGTCTATTGATACAATCTTATTGTAATGTAACCAATACTAAAGTTTTAATGCTCCAAACAGTCTATTGATACAATCTTATTATAATATAACCAATACTAGAGTTTTAATGCTCTAAACAGTCTATTGATACAATCTTATTGTAATGTAACCAATACTAGAGTTTCAATGCTCTAAACAGTCTATTGATACAATCTTATTGTAATGTAACCAAAACTAAAGTTTTAGTGCTCTAAACAGTCTATTGATACAATCTTATTGTAATGTAACCAATAATAAAGTTTTAGTGCTCTAAACAGTCTATTGATACAATCTTATTATAATGTAACCAATACTAAAGTTTAATGCTCTAAACAGTCTATTGATACAATCTTATTATAATGTAACCAATACTAAAGTTTAATGCTCTAAACAGTCTATTGATACAATCTTATTGTAATGTAACCAATACTAGAGTTTCAATGCTCCGTATCAATAGACTGTTTAATCTTATTATAATGTAACCAATACTAAAGTTTTAATGCTCTAAACAGTCTATTGATACAATCTTATTGTAATGTAACCAATAATAAAGTTTAATGCTCTAAACAGTCTATTGATACAATCTTATTGTAAAGTAACCAAAACTTGAGTCCTAACACTGTATAAACTTTTTGTAACATTATATGCCATCTATGATAATGCAACCACTAATTAAATTCTAATATTTCAAGTTTTGGGAATATTTGTTGATGTTATAACTGCCACTTAAGATCTAATACCGTGTAATGTTTTGGGAATATTTGCTGATGTTATAACTGCTACTTAAGATCTAATACCATATAATGTTGTGGGAATATTTGTTGATGTTGTAACTGCTACTTAAGATCTAATACCGTGTAATGTTTTGGGAACATTTGCTGATGTTATAACTGCTATTTAAGATCTAATACCATATAATGTTGTGGGAATATTTGTTGATGTTGTAACTGCTACTTAAGATCTAATACTGTGTAATGTTTTGGGAATATTTGCTGATGTTATAACTGCTATTTAAGTTTTAATACCATGTAATTTTATGGGAATATTTGTTGACGTTGTAACTGCTACTTAAGATCTAATACCGTGTAATGTTTTGGGAATATTTGCTGATGTTATAACTGTTACCAAAGATCTAATCCCGTCTGATGTCTTGGGAATATTTTTTATTGTTGTAACAGCTACTTAAGTTCTAATCTCTAATATTTGATGGTGGCACATCAAGGCTTAACTTGAAATAATTTATTATGACTTAAAACGTTTGTGTCGCAGCTTATATGCAAATGAGTCAATTTCTGTAAATTGTTGTTATTTTTTTATTAAAGGTTAAGTATAACTAATAATTGTTACTTTACATTTGCAGATACCCTACACGCACGCCACCTACTCCATGTGACCTATAAACTTTACATGGCATCTCTAATATTTGAATGCTTCGGAATTTCTTGTCTGTGTATATTTTACGGTGTTTTTGCACACAACGGGATTGGACTTCTAGGATTTAAACTACTTGGTAAGTAGTATAATTACAAACACGAATTAAATACCATATACTCATCTCTGGTGTTGTATTTGACACAAACATGAATTAATTACCATAAACGATATCCCCGGTGTTGTATCCGTTACAAACACGAATTAATTACCATAGGCAATATAATCGGTGTTGTATCGGTTACAAACACGAATAAATTAAAATAGACAATATTCCCTATGTTGTGTTCATTAGAAACACGAAATAACCATATAGACGATATCCTCGGTGTTGTATTCATTAGAAACACGAACTAATTACAGTAGACGATATCCCTGGTGTATTTGACATAAACATGAATTAATTACCATAAACGATATCCCCGGTATTGTATCCGTTACAAGCACGAATTAATTAAGATAGACAATATCTCCGGTGTTGTAATCGTTACAAACACGAATTAATTTCAATAGACGATATCCCTGGTTTTGTATCCGTTACAAACACGAATTACTTAACATAGACGACATCCCCGGTGTTGTATTTAATACAAATGTTAATTTTCATTACAGACGATACACTCACTGTTTTTATTCATTAGAAATATGCACATTAAATATATAGTCTAGTATTCTAGGTGACGTTCGTGCTGTTATCATACGCCACTTTTATTATATTTTGCAATATTGGTTTCTACCGAGTGTGAGTTCTAATTAGAAATGAGTTTCAAAACATTAATATTAAGCTGTACTATCTTCTTGTTTCGAATATTAAAGGTTTACGTTAGGTTCATTTTACCTTATTTTTTACAGGACGACTCTTAGAAGCAATAAGTACGATGATATTTCTTCTTCTGTTAATACTTATTTCCAAAGGCTACACTGTCACTAGAGGGCGCTTGAAACCGCTTACCTCGGCTAAAATCGGAGTGTTCATGACTGTGTATACGGTAGTTTATTCGACATTATTTATCTACGAGAAAAAGGTGCGTTTTTTTGTTTTTCTTGTTCTGAAAACTGAGTCATAAATAACCTCATGTTGATGTTTTATACAGGGATGAGTACGTTATCACTTAGACACGTGACAACCGCATTAGATGTAAAGTCTGAACTACATTTTTTCGTTATTGGTGTTTTGTAGGTAGTATGATACTGGTTTCTCCTGGGAAGGGCATGTAACAACCCTTTCTGATGCCAAATATTTATTCACTCGAATAGAAAAATGTAATCAGATCGGGGATTTTGAATTTCCAAGACGAAGATATCCCTGGAACGTAATGACACTGTAAAACAAAAGAATATGGATCAACTTGAAGTACGGAACCATTCAGAAAGAGACCTGCAAAAAGTCCTACCCCAGCAAAGTGCGACGTATTGTAACCCATTAACATAAATGTCAATGGTAAAGCCCGTCCACGTGACCTAGACAACAGTACTCAATATAAGTCAGCGTACGCAGAATCTATTGATTTCTGTTAGATCAGACCATCGATACGGGCTCTGGGAAACCATCGTCCTCATAAACTACCATATAGAAGGCTATCAGGGAGAAGTGGTGTGCTTTGGATAAGCCATCCTTATGTCGGCGCTTTTTATAATGAAAATTATGCTCGGGATTATTGTCAAGATGCACAGTCGCCAGATAGAGCATGAACGGACGTGGTAACATTAACTGTAATGACGTGGTGAAGCTCCAAAATCATTTCACTGTAACGTACTCAACCCTCTGTATTTCACTGTAACGTACTCAACCCTCTGTATATGCTCATTGTTAGTTTCGATTTATTTTATTCTAAGATGAGTTGTAAACATGCATCATGTATTTTTGCTAAGATATCCATAACTGCTGTGAACATTCATCATTTCAGTCTTATTTTAAGATATAGTACTGTAAACATGTATCATGTCTTTTTGCTAAGATGTCCATAACTGCTGTGAACATTCATCATGTATTTTTGCTAACATATCCATAACTGCTGTGAACATTCATCATTTCAGTCTTATTTTAAGTTATAGTACTGTAAACATGTATCATGTAAGTCTTTTTCTAATATGTGCATATAAGCAGCAAATAGTTTTATTCTGTATCCAACGAGTCCGACACATACCCCCTGTTTGAGATTGTATTCATTCTGTATATAACGTGTCCGACACGTACCCCTGTTTAAGACTGTATTTATTCTGTATCCAACGTGTCCGACACGTACCCCCTGTTTAAGATTGTATTCATTCTGTATTCAACGTGTCCGACACGTACCCCCTGTTTAAGATTGTATTCATTCTGTAACCAACGTGTTCGACACGTACCCCTGTTTAAGATTGTATTTATTCTGTATATAACGTGTCCGACACGTACACCTGTTTAAGATTGTATTCATTCTGTATTCAACGTGTCCGACACGTACCCCCTGTTTAAGATTGTATTCATTCTGTAACCAACGTGTTCGACACGTACCCCTGTTTAAGATTGTATTTATTCTGTATTCAACGTGTCCGACACGTACACCTGTTTAAGATCGTTTTTATTCTGTATCCAACATGTCCGACACAGTACCCCCTGTTTAAGATTGTATTCATTCTGTATATAACGTATTCGATGTGTATCCCTGTTTCTTGTTTTGCAGATGTTTGGTCCCGAAGGAGTATTGTATGTTTATGACAGTCCCTCTTGTTTTCTATATTGCAGGTGTTTGATCCTGGAGAAGTGTTATATGTTTATGATAGTCCCGCAGGATACGGCTTGGTTGGTATGCGACTCGTGGGTTGGTCCTGGTTTGTTTATGCCAACATTTTTACTCTGATACATTATCCTGAGAAATCACGTTTCTACACAAAACTCTTTCTTGTCTACTCTCTCTGGTAAGTGCTGAGTAAAATCTAGTAGAATTATTAAACTTTCCGAACGAACAACCGTAGAGATTTTTATTTCCCAAGTAGCTATCACAAATGACGAACAGCATTAGGCAATTTCGTTTAACAAGTAGATCGTCATTCGTTTACCAAATACATTCTATAAAAACATGAGATAAATTAGCGCACAATTGTTCATTTTCTTTCCAGTGAGAACCAGTAAAATCTCCTTAGTACTGTTTATTGTACAATTCATAAATAATAGTCGGAGAAATAACTGAAAAACGGCTAAAGTAGCTTTCGCAGTTGTATGCCAAAGTAATAGTAAATTATCAGTAATAGTAGAGAATGATAATATGAGGATCTACTTAAATGTTAAAGATGAACACTTTAAAATATGGAACAGGAAACCCTTAGGAAACATAACTACTTTACGGCATTTTTCAAATCATAGACCTGTCAGTTGATATGGTATTGTAGTGTGTTAGACGAAAGATACGTGTGGTAACTTTAGTTAAATGATGAATATGTATGTGTTCCTATAAATTTGGTTCACAGCGAATTTTGATATCTAATCAATTTACCTAGTTTGAAGGTCATTTGTTATAACGTAAATAAGAAACTGGATGTTGTTAAATTTCATCAGGAGGGGTGTTAAGTATTCACGTTTATAGGGTGAATATTTCGTACCTGGTTATGTGTGATCAGTAGAACACAAATAAGCCTGTTACTTATACTTCTCTGTAAATTTTTCAATCTGTTTGATGCCTAAAACAAAGCACGATAATAATCATGATTTTTGTACACCCTCGAGAAGATGGTAAACTTTTGCTTCACTTTTACTCTTTAGAATTATTTATTTCTACTCTGTAGACGATATTAAGTTGCTTTTACTGCCTAAAGATTCATCTAGAATTACATTTACTTTGTCAGATAATACTGTGTTCTTACTGTTTTGTAATTTATTAATTGCACAGGTTTACTGTTTTAGGGTTTATCGTGCTTAACAATTTTATTGTCGTGTCCAGTTTAACAACCTTTACTGTTTTGAGGGGGCGTCAGTACTTCTTAGTGCCATATTTTACCGAATTTATAATGTTTTGGAATTTATCAGTTCTACAATTACATATAACTGATCCATTGGTTTATTATATGTATTTGTTTAGGTTCTTGTCAGGTCCAGTAATCATCCTTATCTCGACCTTCATGGTTCCCAAATGGATGAGAGAAAAGCTGATCAATGGAATTGAGTTGTTCATCAGTCTGATAGCCCACTTAACTTTCTTTGTAAGTTGTTTTGATTTCCAACCGTTGGAGTGCTTTCTCACGATTGATCCAGTCTGGGAATTTATTTTAAAAAGTACACTATTACAAAAGACAAAATCAAACTGTTTCTTAATCTGTTTTAAATAAATAGGGAAAAAATTAAAATTTTAACAGAATGTAGGGATCGTTGGTTGTTCATAGAATTGCTATAAGAAGTATCCAAAACAAAATATATACTGCAATAAAAAGTACAGAAACAAGTAAAGTGATACTGGCTGGATAGAATTTAAAACGATTTTCAATCCCTACTTTGGTTGGAATTGTGATCTGTATAGCTAAATGGAGCTATACTTCATATAGCAATTCTACGAATAACCAACGATCCCTACTTTCCGTTAAATTTGTTATTTTATTTTTTATATATTTAGTTGTTCAGTTATATATGTTCATGGAATGGACACAACATCTATAAACTTTCAGTCGAACTATATCCCTGATAGCTATAACTTTTACAAGAATTAACCACAATGACAAATATATAAAATGTAATCCTTACTTTGGCTTGCAGATAAGTGTATAAAACTGCCAGTTTTATAAATTTGTGATTGTGGTTTTAATTCTTGTTTAATTACTTTTTGTAACAGGGTCCTACTTCATTTTACAGTTGGTAATTTTCTAATATTCTTGTTTGTTTACATTTTATGTTACACGTGTCTATCCATCGACATGTAGCAACATCTGTTGGATTGAACTGAGTTTAAAACATATTTAAGTACGCGCATGATATGTTTACCATTTATAAAAAAATCTGTATATGTTTATCGGAATATCATAAGCGGATAACCCCAGACCAGTCAAGTAAGCTAGAGAAATCTTGTTACGATAGTCTGAGCCGTCTAGGGTCTAGCCCCGCTGACGTGATCAGGTAGGTAAATAGGTAGTAGATGAAAAATTTGCTGTTTTAAAACTTTTTGAACTGTTGTACCAGAAATGTTAGCAAACTTTCTAATGTATTATTAGTATATATGCGCATAATATATCGTAACCAATACTTTGAATGGTCGTTTTTTTTTCGCTTAGGAATTCAACAGGGTGGTTTTCGGCGCGTGAATTATTTGGAAACCTTGTCGATCCCTAATATTAAGTACTACCGTACTTAATAATATTTTCAAGAATGAAAGTTTACATTGTACAAGGAATTGGGTATTATACAGTGGGTACCGATGGGGATTCTGCACCAAGAATTAGATATTCTGTAGTATAGTATTACCGAATTTCTAATGTTTTGGAATTTATCAGTTCTTCTGCACCAAGTACTAGGTTTTCTGTGGTATAGTATCGATGTGAGATTCTGCATCAAGTGTTAGATATTCTGTAGTATCGTATCGATGTGAGATTCTGCATTAAGTACTAGGTATTCTGTAGTAGTATAGTACCAAAGTGGAAGTTCTGTACCAAGTGTTAGATATTCTGTAGCGTAATACCAACGTGGAAGTTCTGCACCAAGTCTAGGTATTCTGTAGTATAGTATCGATGTGAGATTCTGCACCAAGTACTAGGTTGTCTGTAGTATCGTATCGATGTGAGATTCTGCATTAAGTACTAGGTTGTCTGTAGTATCGTATCGATGTGAGATTCTGCATTAAGTACTAGGTATTCTGTAGTAGTGTAGTACCAAAGTGGAAGTTCTGTACCAAGTGTTAGATATTCTGTAGCGTAATACCAACGTGGAAGTTCTGCACCAAGTGTTAGATATTCTGTAGCGTAATACCAACGTGGAAGTTCTGCACCAAGTCTAGGTATTCTGTAGTATAGTATCGATGTGAGATTCTGCACCAAGTACTAGGTTTTCTGTGGTATAGTATCGATGTGAGATTCTGCAC